AGCAGAGAACCAGGGTGGAGCCGGCAGAGCAGGTGGAGCTGAGGACCACCACAGCTGAGCAGATGGGTCCAAAGATCTCCATGGCGGAGCAGAAGACCACCAGAGCAGGACAGGAGACCACCAGGCCGGAGCAGACTGAGCAGAAGACCACCACAGAGGAGCAGAAGACCACAAGACCACCACGACGGAGCAGACTGGACAGAAGCCCACCAGGGCGGAGCAGACGGGACTGGAGCCAACCAGGGCAGAGCAGAAGACCACCAGGCCGGAGCAGACGAAGCAGATGCCAACCATGGCGGAGCAGAAGACCACCAGGCCGGAACAGACAGAGCAGAAGCCCACCAGGGCGGAGCAAATGAAGCAGAAGCCCCCCCGGGATGGAGCAGAAGACATCACGGCAGAGCAGACTGATCAGGAGACCATGGTCAAGACTGAGACCTAGGAAGAGCAGAGACAGACAACACAGACAGAGTATTCATGGCCCCAAGGACCGAGGCAGGCAACACAACGGGTTTGGTCTCCTTAAAGATAATGGGGTGGACAGACAGTTCAAAATCAGATACATTAGGAAGAACCGGAGGGGCAGACAGTTTGTAATTAAACTCATAGACTGAAACTGGCAAGGCAGATAGTTCGTAATTGGGTCCATTAAATGTAACTGAACAGACAGACAGATCATAAACATGCTCAATGACCGAACCTGGACATGCAGACAGTTCATAAACAGGCTCATTGACTGAAACCAAATTGGCAGCTGGCATAACATCAGATAAGTTAACTGGGACCTCACTGGCAGACAGTTCAACATTGGAATCATTGGCAAACACTGGTTGAGTTGACAGTTCACACACAGGGTCATTGGTGAAAACTGGACAGACAGGAACATCATCAGACACATTGACTCACGAGGATTAATGGGAACTGGATTGGCTAAACAGACAGATGGTTCAAAATCAGACATATTACTTGAAATTAGTGGACAGACAATTCAAGAACAGATTCATGGGTTGACACTGTGTGGACAGACCATTCATTATTTAACTCCTTGACTGAGACTGGCAAGACAGATAGTTCAGAATTAGACACACTTGGGGAAACAGAACAAGCAGACAGTTCCTGAATAATCTTTATGGCAGTGACAGGGTTAACGGGAAGGACATGGGGTGAATTAATAGTTTCTGGGCTCGTGACAGGTAGGGTTAAAGGTTTAAAGGCAGAGTTTTTGGCTGTGACAGACCGTTCACAATCAACCACCATGGCTGGTTCAGAACAGGACAAGAGTACAGAGATGGCCTTCTCTGCTGGTTCATAATAGGCAGAGAGTTCATAGGTGGCCTCCTTGTCCGGAACAGGACAGGCAAAGAGTTTGCAGATGGCCTCCATAGCCATGACAGGACAGGCAGAGAGTTCACAGACGGCCTCCATAGCCGTGACAGGACAGGCAGAGAGTTCACAAGTGGATACTACTGACACCTCTGGAGGTTCTGCAGTGGATGCCGCCACCTCTGGAGGTTCTACAGCAATACCATCAGGAAACAGGGAGAGTTCATTAACATTCTCCTTAACAAGACAGGTACAGAGTTCAGCAACGGTCCCTTTGACCGTGACAGGACAGACTGAAAGTGCATTGCTGGGCGCCACCACCATACCAGGAGCCAACGCGAGCACCGCCACCACGGAGGGTTCTGCAGCCTCAGCCGCCACCTCTGGAGGACCTAGAGCGAGCACCGCCATCTCTGGAAGTTCTGTGGTAGTGTATGCAGCCCAAACACACCAAAAAGTGATCCCCATCATGGGAAGCGCTTCAGACAGGGGAATCAGTTCAGGAACAGGAGGGCTAGAGTGAGTGGGTTTGGGGATACCAGCTGCGCGTGCAGACACCAGCGGTGCATCCCTCACACTGGATACCAGACTGGGATACCGAAGGGCTGAACTTGATAATCTGGGTGTAACAGACAGGACGTGAAGTGACTCTGGATGATCAGCTGTGATGTGACGTGACTCTGGACGAACAGCCGAGGCGTGACGTGACTCTGGACGAACAGCCGAGACTTGACTTGCCTCAGGAAGATCAGCCGTGACTTGACTTGCCTCAGGAAGATCAGCCGTGACTTGACTTGACTTGACTCAGGAAGATCAGCCGTGACTTGACTTGACTCAGGAAGATCAGCCGTGACTTGACTTGACTCAGGAAGATCAGCGCGTGCAGACACCAGCGGTGCATCCCTCACACTGGATACCAGACTGGGATACCGAAGGGCTGAACTTGATAATCTGGGTGTAACAGACAGGACGTGACGTGACTCTGGATGATCAGCTGTGATGTGACGTGACTCTGGACGAACAGCCGAGACGTGACGTGACTCTGGACGAACAGCCGAGACTTGACTTGCCTCAGGAAGATCAGCCGTGACTTGACTTGACTCAGGAAGATCAGCCGTGACTTGACTTGACTCAGGAAGATCAGCCGTGACTTGACTTGACTCAGGAAGATCAGCCGTGACTTGACTTGACTCAGGAAGATCAGCCGTGACTTGACTTGACTCAGGAAGATCAGCCGTGACTTGACTTGACTCAGGAAGATCAGCCGTGACTTGACTTGACTCAGGAAGATCAGCGGTGACATGCGCTGACTCACGAAAATCAGAGACTCATGACGATCAGCCGTGACTTGACTAGACTCATGAAGATCAACGGTGACATGAGCTGACTCAGGAAAATCAGCCGTGTCTTGACTTGATTCAGGATCGGCAGCTGTGACATAAAGAGGCGCTGTTGTGTCCGCCATTTTGTGAGCGTGCTCTAGTGTGGCCACCATTACACGAGTGAGTGCGGGGTTGCGTTCCTCCATGACACCCTCAGTGAACATTGAACCAACAGTCAACAAAGCATAATCCATAAACTGACTGAGAGATGAGCGGGGACCTTCACGGATTAAACGTGATTTGAGCGGCTGATTAATGCCCTCACAAAAGAAGTCTATGAGTACACAGTCCGGCAGATCAGAAAAATAAGCAAAGTTCAGATACTCTTGAATATAGTCCTCGAGTGATCGTGTGCCCTGTTTGAGGGCTAATAACAGTCTTGCAATGTCCATACCTGGCCAGTGTCCACTTGAAAAGCCGCTGGATCCTTGTGTGGCCGAGTATTCTGTTACGGGGCTGACGAGACAAGAGGCGTGCGGATCCATGTGCAAGCTTTTATTCTAGAACAAAGTCAAAACAAGCAAGGATCAGATAATGGCAAACAGGTATATTGAGTGCAAGGCACAAGAGTAGTCCAGTGAACGGGCGTGGTTGAGCTCCGGCGAACAATGTCCAAACAGGGTAATCCAGAGGGCTTGACAAGAGGGGTAATCCGTAAACGTGAGCATAAGGCCAGGCGAGGAGCAAACACAGTCTGAAACAGCAAGCAAAGGGTTAAACCAAGACACGTGGCAAGAATCAGGAATCAGGAAAACAGGCAAGGCAAGACTATGACTAGATTATGAAAACTAGGGCAGGCTCCGTAAAGTAGCTATCAGCTATCAAAGTGATAAACGCTAAACAATACTCAGCGTTGAATGGTGGTGTGAGACTGATTTATATAGTGTGTGTTATTGGTAGCAGCTGTGTGTGATTGGTTTCAGGTGAGCTTGTGATTAGTGCAATGAAGCATGGGAAATGTAGTCCAGGGTGATGTGTAACAGTCTGTGTATTAACCGAGTCCATGTGGCGAGCGGGTAACCTCTGGTGGTGAGAGAACGGAAGTTTATAGACCGGATTCGTGACACTCACTGTGCACAAGTAGATTTCCTTGTGCACATGCATCAGGCCTAAAAATGGCACTTATGCTTTAAGATATACTCGGTGTTCACAACATATTGACTTCTGTAATGAGACACATTTGTGAGTGAAGCTGAGTATAAATGCTGAGCAATTGAGAGTCACTGTATGATTATATGTGACCCTGGAGCACAAAACCAGTCATAAGTGTCAATTTTCTGAAATTGAGCTGAATAAATAAGCTTTGCATTGATGTATAGTTTGTTAGGATAGGACAATATTTGGCCGAGATACAACTATTTGACAGTCTGTGTAGTGGGAGAGTCCATGTGGCGAGCGGGTAACCTCTGGTGGTGAGAGAACGGAAGTTTATAGACCGGATTCGTGGCACTCACTGTGCACAAGTAGATTTCCTTGTGCACATGCATCAGGCCTAAAAATGGCACTTATGCTTTAAGATATACTCGGTGCTCACAACATATTGACTTCTGTAATGAGACACATTTGTGAGTGAAGCTGAGTATAAATGCTGAGCAATTGAGAGTCACTGTATGATTATATGTGACCCTGGAGCACAAAACCAGTCATAAGTGTCAATTTTCTGAAATTGAGCTGAATAAATAAGCTTTGCATTGATGTATAGTTTGTTAGGATAGGACAATATTTGGCCGAGATACAACTATTTGAAAATCTGGAATCTGAGGGTACAAAAAAATCTAAATATTGAGAAAATCATCTTTAAAGTTGTCCAAATGAAGTTCTTAGCAATGCATATTACTAATCAAAAATTAAGTTCTGATATATTTACGGTAGGAAATTTACTAAATATCTTCATTGAACATGATCTTTACTTAATATCCTAATGATTTTTGGCATAAAAGAAAAATGTATAATTTTGACCCATACAATGTATTTTTGGCTATTGCTACAAATATACCTGTGCTGCTTATGACTGCTTCTGTGCTTGGGTCACATATCTCACTGCAGAATGGGGGAGGTATGTCTCTCTCTCGCTTGAAGAAAAGAGAGACTCAATATAGAAGATATTTCTGAATTCAATTTCTCATGAGGTCTTTCTGTCTGTTCCTCACCGAGCTGATTTATTCGCGGTGATTAATATCAAGCTTATAGTGATCCTGAAGAAAGTATTTTCCAGTGGTTAGATTTGAGTTCATGTATCCGGGTCTCATTCCTCAGAGTGTCAGATGAATTGTTTTCATTGGTTGTGTGTTTCAGGACCGCAAGCTGACAAAGGTGGAGAGGCAGCGCTTTAAAGAGGAGGCTGAGATGTTGAAGGGTCTCCAGCACCCAAACATCGTGCGATTCTATGATTTCTGGGAGTCTCCGCTGAAGGGGAAGAAGTGCATCGTGCTGGTCACAGAGCTCATGACGTCAGGCACGCTCAAAACGTGAGGAGCGCTCTCACGGACCTCAATAGAGTCACAGTCTGAGCTGCAGTCCAGTGTGGCAGGAAAGCAGCAGTTCAAAGTTTGGTGCTTTTTATGAAATCATGATAGGCAAAAGTTCAGGCTTTTATGAAATAAAAACTGTGAAATAGAAGCTTAAAAATGGTCAAGCCTCACTCAACTCACAACTTACAAGTTGTTTCTCTCCAAGGAAGTGATGCCAACTTTATCATTTAATGATTTGTGATTTATGAGCATCCATTTAAAGGTACAGTGGTCAAAATAACACAGTGAGTAGTAACTTGAGGGACACACTAAAAACCTTTATTTTAATTGTTAAATTAAATTTAATAGCTGAAAGAATACATTACAGGGAATTATTACTTATATACTTATTGTGGAAGAAAAAGAGAAAATAGAAATCAATCAAAATCAAATTGAAAATTGATTTTTAAATGCTGTAAAATTTTTCAAATTATTATTATTATTATTATTTTTTTACCTTGTAACAATGTTGAATTCAGATGAGGTTGTTGATGACAGACAGCTTTAAAATATATTGTTCAGCATTTCAGGGCAATAAGATCCTGATCTTGTTGAGGAATGAGGAATGACCTGCCATGTAGTTAAGGACACTTCATATAAAGTCATGTGACCGCTTCTTTGAGAGGGAGAGTTCTGGAGTCGCCACTGTTACACACACATGAAGTGTTTGCAGTTGAGGTTTATGCAAAATAGCAGTAATGTGTTTTGTTTTCTCCAGGTATCTGAAGCGCTTCAAGGTGATGAAACCCAAAGTGTTGCGCAGCTGGTGTCGTCAGATCCTCAAAGGCCTGCACTTCCTTCACACACGCACTCCTCCCATCATCCACCGGGACCTGAAGTGTGACAACATCTTCATCACGGGGCCCACGGGCAGCGTGAAGATCGGAGACCTGGGTCTGGCCACCCTCAAAAGAGCCTCCTTCGCCAAGAGTGTGATCGGTGAGACAGCAGTCCACTCATATCCAGTTTTTCTGGATTAACATACACTACACATAACGTTTTTCAACAGTAAGATTTTTTATGTTTTTTAAAGAAGTCTCTTCTGCTCACCAAGCCTGCATTTATTTGATCCAAAATACTGCAAAAGCAGTAACATTGTGAAACATTTTTACTATTTAATATAACCCTTTTCTATGTGAAAATCTGTTAAATCTGCTGTATTTTCAGCATCATTCCTCCAGTCTTCAGTGTCACATGATCTTCAGAAATCATTCTAATATGCTGATTTGCTGCTCAAGAAACATCTTTGATTATTAGTATTATTATTATCGATATTTAAAGCAGTTGAGTAAAAAATTTTCAGGATTCTTTGATGAATAGAAAGATCCAAAAATCAGCATTTATCTGAAATAAAAAGCTTTTGTAACATTATACACTATTCCATTCACTATACCAGCTTTTTTTTGGGGGGGTTATAGAAGTGAATACTTTTATTTAGGAAGTATGCTTTAAATTGATCAAAAGTGATGATAACGACATTTATAATGTTACAAAAGATTTCCATTTCAGGTAAATGCTATTCTTCTGACTTCTATTCATCAAAGAAACTTGAAAAATATATATTTAGTTGTTTTCAACATAATAATAATAATAATAATAATAATAATAATAATACATATTTTTGAGAAGCAAATCAGAGTATTAGAATGATTTCTGAAGAATCACGTGAATGGAGTAATGACGCTGAAAATTCAGCTTTGAAATCACAGGAATAAACTACATTTTAAAATATATTCAAATAGAAAACAGTTATTTTAAATGGTAAAAAAATATTTCAAAATGTTACTGTCTGTGCTGTGCTTTGGATCAAATAAATGCAGGCTTCTTTAAAAAATATAAAAAATCTTACAGTTCAAAAACTTTTGACTAGTAGTGTACAGTGTTCCTTTATTAATTATTCTGGTTCATTTGACTTTGCTTTCAGATACCAATGCTCATTTTACCACATTCAAACCCCTTTCACAGATTTCCCCCAATATTAGTGCAGATGCAAAAAACAAAAAAGCAGATCCAAGATACCTTGAAGGACCTATCTGAGCGGTAAGACTCAAACCACTGGAATGTGGTACCTGAGATGCCCTTTGCCAATAGGGTTGACAGGAGGATCTGGTGGTTAACCTTGTCAAAAGCAGTGGACAGATCCAGCAAAATAAGTATAGAAGATTTGGAAGCCGCTCTTGCCAGTCTTAGGGCTTCAACAACTGAGAGCAAGGCAGTCTCGGTCGAATGTCCACTTCTGAAGCCAGATTGGTTGCTGTCCAGGAGGTTGTTCTGTGTGAGAAAGGCAGAGACTTGGTTGAACACAGCTCGTTCAAGTGTTTTTGCAATGAAAGGAAGAAGGGAAACTGGTCTGTATTTCTTTAAAAGAGATGGGTTAAGAGTGGGTTTCTTAAGAAGTGGGGTTATACGAACCTGTTTAAATCAGGGGTTAAAGCAAAAAAAAAAATCCTGAGCCTGAACTTTCTTCCGGGGGTTGCGTGGGCGGACACATATACAGGGTTATTTTGCAAAAAAAAAAAGAACATTATTTGAAAATGATTTTCCTTGAAACTAACTAGTAACATATCTGCCCTTGCCATTAGCCATTGACAGGCTCAGACTACAGATTATGGTGGGCTATTTGAAACAGCAATTCCAGGAAAGGTTACTCACTTTAATGCAAACTTATGTAACATTTAGGATGCTTTTGATATCAAGTTTTGCTGGTTAGATTTGTCCTTGACAGGGCACTGTTACGGTGCGACAGGAACGAGAGATGTGCGGATCCATTTGCAAAGCTTTATTTCAAAGACGTGGTCAAAACAGGCAAGGGTCAGACAATGGCCCTCAGTTATATAGTGGGCAAGACACAAGAGTAGTCCAGTGAACGGGCGAGGTCGATCTCCTGCGAAACAATGTCCAAACTGGGTAATCCACAGGGTTAATCCGAAACACAGGCTTTGGTCCAGGGGAGGGGTAATCAGTATCCGAACAGGGCGAGATGAGAGGGGTAATCCAGGATACACAGGCAAGAATCAGAACACGAGAAAACAGGCAAGGCAAGACTATGACTAGACTATGGAAACTAGAACTATAAATTTTGACAGGGAACTGGCTCCGTAATGTAGCTATCACTAGGTGAGCAATATATGCTAAACAATACTCGCCAGTTTGAGAAGGATCTGAGTGGGTGTAATATAGTGTGTGAGTGATTTGTTACAGCGGTGTGCAATCAGTGCAATGGATGATGGGAAATGTAGTCCAGAGTGACATGCAACAGTCTGTGTAATGTGAAAATCAATATAATGGAAGGGTGACCTCTGGTGGCAAGTAGATGGAAGTCCATGGACAGGATTCGTGACAGGTACAAGATGACCTACAATTTAAAACATGAAATTTCTGAAATTGTTTTGTTCAAAAGAAATAATAGTAAATTAAATACTAGGAAATGAATATAAAATAGGAAATATACAAAGACAGTTTACTACAGAAAACTACAGTTCAGTTCAATTAACAACAGCAAAATAAAATGCTCCAAGAACTGGTAACTTAAACAAGGTTCGTACAGATACTGCAAAATTAAATTCCAGGACTTTCAAGGACTTTTCAAGCACTACTCTTTTGGTTTTAAAGGACTAAAATCAGATCTTACTTATCACTTATCAAAAAATATTGTTATTGTCTTTCAAATTCTAATATATAAACTAATAAAACATATGGTACGAATAAAGTGCAGCACATGCAAAGAATGCAATGACTGTGGCAACTTTAACATTTGAAAGGATACTATGGCAAAGTTATCGCTTTCATAATTCAAACTGATTTTTTTTTCACGAGTATATGATTGACCTGAAGAATGAAAGCTAGGCTATATCATACACTTGGAAAATTATGAGCTATATCACCGCTTATCAACACTAGGGGTGTGACAATAAACTTAGCTCATGAGATGAGACAAAATGCATATACTTATATTGGCTCAAATAAAGTATCAAGTATAAAGTAACTGTTAAATAAATAATGTAATATGCATATAGTATAACAAATACCTGCAGAGGGCACCAACGGCCTGGTTTAAATCCATTTAATTTCAATATTTGGCCATATGCAAAGTGAGAAACTTTTATTTTAATAAAATAAATCGCATATTTAGAAATATGTTGATGTATTCTGTGTTGGCATAGGTTTATAAATGACTTAAGTTACAAATTAAGTAAGATAACGCACAGTTTTCCCAGATGAACGTTAAGCAACCCAAACTCACCGCATATGCAGAGGAAGAGTTTAGCCCCTTTCACATATACAGTCTTCACTGGTAAATTGCCATTAAGAGATCATGTGTGAACAGGACCTTTTCAAAACTACAGGTAAATTTATTCTGCCAATCATATCGTTCTTATGGAGATGACGTGATTACTCTGAGCTGTTTACAAAGCTCCGTTAATTATATAGAAAATAGCTTTTCTATATAAATATGGCTCTAGATGGAAATCTTTGACCATTGCGCCTCGCAGCTTTTTCAGAATGTATCGTGCTCATCAGCTGCAACTCTGTAGTTGGATACTATTATGCGCGTCTCATGTTTATAGGACCAAAAATGTCTGATTGGCTAGTAATGTTAGTTTGGTTTAGAGTGAAAGCTGTGTTCCTCTCATACATTGGTAGGCGAACTCATTAACTTGTGATATCAACAAGTTTTTTTTTAATGTAGGAGGACTATCTTATTTTCACTCAGCTAAACGCCACACGCCGGAGATCCGGCACGGTGCCGGAGAACTTTAAGCCCTGTTAAATGTTGAGGGAAAAACACCAGTGTGAAGGGATCTGTTAATGATGTGAGTGAGTGCAGGTACAACTGCAGGAGAAATGGCTTGAAGGAGATGAGATGGAATAGGATCAAGCGGATAGGATGATTGGAAAGGATGAGTTTGGAGACTTCTGCCTCAGAGAGTGAAGAGAAGGATGAAAACGAGTATATGTTTGCTGGTAAGATGTGTTTGACAGTTTGTGGTGTGGAAAATTGTGCACTGATGGTTTTAATTTTATTAATGAAGAAAGTGGCAAAGTCGTCAGCTGTTAGAGTTGATGAAGGAGGGGGAGGAGGAGGACAAAGGAGGGAGGAAAATGTTTTAAAGAGCATGCAAGAGTTAGGCGAATTGTTAATTTTGTTACGATAGTATGTCCTTTTAGCAGTGGAGGCATTAGCAGAGAATGAAGAGAGGAGTGACTGATACACATTAAGGTCAGTAGGATTTTGTGATTTTCGCCATACTCTTTCTGCAGCCCTGAGCTTAGAACGATGTTTTCAGGAGACCATCAGACAGCCAAGGGGCAGAAGAGGTGGTACGAGCTGGCCTGGAAGACAAGGGGCAGAAGAGGTGGTACGAGCTGGCCTGGAAGACAAGGGGCAGAAGAGGTGGTACGAGCTGGCCTGGAAGACAAGGGGCAGAAGAGGTGGTACGAGCTGGCCTGGAAGACAAGGGGCAGAAGAGGTGGTACGAGCTGGCCTGGAAGACAAGGGGCAGAAGAGGTGGTACGAGCTGGCCTGGAAGACAAGGGGCAGA